TAATTTAACTCTAACATTACTATTACAATATTTTCTTTTTCCATTTTCATCCTGAACACCAAACCAACAAACAAAAGCTGTAACTATAGCACAATTTTCATCTTGAAAATCTTCATCAGGTACAATACCATACAAAAAATTTCTAGCAGAACCATCATCTGAAGCAAGTTTTAATTCTTCTAAATTATCACGAATTTCTTTTTCTTCTTGACCGTATCTTTTTATCCAATTATCAATTATTTGTTCGTGTTTATTTGAAACCATAGATGAATTGCTAACAGAACTTTGATAACCAATTTCTCCATTAGTCAAGGCTTCTTTTAATTTTACGAGTTTATTATTATTTTTAATTTTAATATCAATCGTTTGCTCAGACAACATTCTAATGAAACATATTTTTTAAAAAAAAAAATTGTAGTTTATCATTATTAAAAAAAAAAAAAATATTTATTACCTTATTTTGTTTTTTGTTTATTTATTTATTTTTTTTTTGTTTATTTGTTAGAAGAAAAATTTTTTTATTAGAAGAAAAATTTTTTCGAATCTAACGAACAAATTATTTTAATTATTTATAATATTTTTTTTATGTTAATAGAAATTAATTTGGTTAAATCGTCAATAAACCCAGAAAAATAAAATTTTAACAATCTAAATTTTATCTTTTGATAGAAAGTCAGAAAAGGAATTTACAGAAAGTTCTAAATTCTTATCTTTTGATGGATTTTAATAAAGCCAGAAAAGGAATTTACAGAAAGTGTGATCTTCAAAATTTAATCTTTTGATCGAAACAAAAAAAAAAATTTCACAACAGATTTTAATAAAGCCAGAAAAGGAACTTACAGAAGTTCTAAATTTTATCTTTTGATCGAAACAAAAAAAAATCACATAGATTTTAATAAAGCCAGAAAAGGAACTTACAGAAAGTTCTAATTTCTACTACGTATATATAATTTTGGAAGTTCAACACCAACAAAAACATCATCATCTTGTGCCAATACTCTCAATGATAAAAATAATATGAATACAAATATATATCTCATAATGTCGATCACCAATCTTAATACCATGGTTTATATTTGAATTCTATTTATAGTTTTTGTTTATCAGAATCATCTTTCTCTTTCGTCCACGTTTTTGATTATTTTGAATTGTTTTACAAATAATTTTATTTTTCAAACATTGTTCACAAGGTTTTTTCTCATTACATTTTATTTTTTTTTGTCGACAAAATAAACAAGCTGATAAAACATTTAACTTTTTCATTGTTTATATTTTTTTTTTTTATTTAAACAATTTCTTTGTCTTTTATTTTATTTTTTTTAATGTTAAAATTTAATATTTTATTGGTTAATTATTTAATGAATGAAATCAAAATTTTTTGATCGAAACAAAAAAAAAATTCACGGTTTTTAATAAAACCAGAAAAGGAACTTTCAGAAAATTCTATTTTGTTAAACAAAATTTCACAACAGATTTTAATAAAGCCAGAAAAAGAACTTACAGAAAGTTCTAAATTTTATCTTTTGATCGAAACAAAAAAAAATCACATAGATTTTAATAAAGCCAGAAAAGGAACTTTAGTGAACCAATAAAATTACATTTGATTTGTAA